TCGATGCAGCTCTTACTGGTTCCTAGTTGCTTTCGTCCACAGGGCCCAACGGCCCGTGGGGTCTTTTACTGAAGACGTATATGACTTAATGGACCGGAACGTCTTATCTCACTCTTACCTTCTCTTTTCTCATACTGTTCTTTCATGCTGTAATCCATCGCGCCTTTGCCATCTGCGCTTCCAGGGTCAACCTGGTTGCTACAGTTGGCTTAAGCCAAAAAGTGTTACTTACCTCCTTCATTATTTTATTTATACCAAGATGAAGGAATGGCAGAGCTGGCTCGTGATTGCGCGCTTTAAGGCACAGACAAAGAAGGCATGCATGCAACGATGTAAGCTCGTTTCGCTCCTTAACAATCCGGTCAATTGCATCCACAAGCAAAGGAATACCATTTTCGGGCTGAAAATTACTTCAGTTAAACCTAAATGATTTTAATCGCAGCAAAAACCATGAAGAGAGAATTTTTAAAACACTCTGAAGTAGTATGGGCTTCTAAAAAAATCGAAAATCAAAAATCACTGAAAAAAAAATCCCAAATCGTTCTTTTGACTTCTAACTACTCTTTTCAATTAAAATATTCTGAAACTGACAGAAGGAAAAAAAACACAGAAAACTAACTTTAAAAAACATAAAAAATTAAAAATAAAACTAGTATGAGAGTACTTTTTTGGGGCCTCAAACGTACCTTCTTGATCTTGACGAAGTACTCGTAAACTTTTCGAAACAGAAACACATCTGAAAAAAAAAACTTATTAAATGCCAATAATTTTAATACAACACAAATTTGTCAAATATCATCTAACAAATATATATGATGCAGTGTGTTGATAACAATCATTTATGCCATATTTTTTTTTGACTTCTAACTTTCCTTTCACTTAAATTAGGCTGAAACTGACAGCAGGAAAAAAAACACGGGAAAATGACTTTGAAAAACATGGCATTATTCTGTTGCATTATTGTTAGATTTTGCATATATTATCACTGTGAACTTAATTATGTGTGATAATTTGTAGTGGCTTTTCAGTAACAGCGCCTTTTTTCCCACACCGATCGTTCCGATAATCTTATTTTTTGGCATCAATAACATTTTTGGTATCAATATATATATTTGTTGGTATCAATACATATATACGTGAACCGATTGCAGCATCCAAGTTGACCTTGGAAGCCTATGGCGAAGGCGCGATAGATTACAGCATGGAAGAATAGTATGAGAAAAGAGGAGGTAACAGTGAGATAAGACGTTTCGGTCCATTAAGTCATATATGTCTTAACTCAACATCACGATAGGATCTTTTAGCATATTTATAAATTTTTTAACAACACACAGGTAAAAAATATACATAAATATATATGAGGGCTACATATAGGTAAAATTATCATTATATTCATAGGAGATAAGACTTACAAATATCGGGGATGTATGAGATCTCCGTGCTGTTCAGAAGTGGAGTCAGTACTTGGACCTGCGACACTGTGCGTTCGAACTGAAACAGGATAAAACGACGACTGCAACACTGCAGAAGTGATGAGAGGGAATGAGGAGCAACGAAAGGCTTCTAAAATTATTGAAAAAGCAGCTGGCAGCACAGGGAGATTTAAGGGGAGGGGGCTATTGGTCTTCGATCTTTTCCCCTTCTCCCCCCCCCCCC